TAAATATACTAATCTATTATTATTAAAGCTATTAAACTCAGCAGATTTTGAAATATATATATATATATATATATATATATATATATATATATATATATATATATATATATATATATATATATATATATATATATATATATATATATATATATATATATATATATATCTAAAATGTGCTTTAAACACACTATATTGATTGGTTTCCCCTTACTTTTATTTCTTTTATTTTAAATGTATTGTGCTTAGTTTCCTCTTGGCTTTTAAAGTATTTGTAAGATGAAGAATAGTACTGTCTGTACTCTTACTTCGTCGCCATACAGACTTCTCGTTACACGCTATATAGATATGCATCCGTGTTATTATTATTGGCATCACATACCGTTGGTGTCGCCAAGTACGCAAATACTAATTGAGTGTTAATACTTTGTTTTCCTATTTTTACAACGTGTAGTTCGATATTGATCCTAATTCCTATCAATATTTGGAAATTTGTAAAGATATTTGGATATTTTTTACATATTGTTGAATGGAGTATATAGTTCTATAGAATATAGTCTCAACATACTAAATAGGATACTTACTAGCTCTTATCCGCGAGTTCGCCCGCGTGATTAGGATATGTTTACTGACTGGGTTAAATTGTAGCCTATATTCTTTCTCCATCCCATATAATACTGCATGTATACCAACTTTGAGTGATTGGTAAAGCCGTTAAGATGCTATAACAAACAAACAAACCCACTTTCCCATTTATAATATTAGCAAGGATTTATAATTCTGATTCAAATCCGTGGGATGTTGTCTAGTCTTGATTAATTTATTATTATTTGCAATAACTTGGACATTCGATACAAACAAAATTGTTCCGTGTTGCTACATTTCTAAATTTGCAATACATCATAGATTTCTCGTCTTCATCTAGCTACCAATAAAATTACGAAAGTAGATATGTTAATATTAAAAAATTATAAAACTCAAGTTTCTAAACATCAGTAAAACATTTAATCAGAACTGTCCACTATATCCTTACTTAATATCGTAAATGTGAAAGTTAATTTGTTTATTTATTTGTTAATTCTTGACGCCTTGACTGAATCGTTATGAAATTTAATATGCATTCGTATTATATGAGATGAGAAGAACATAGACTATTTTTTTATACGAATCAATGAACGTAACTCGGTTAGGTGGACGAAGTCGCGAGTAAAATGTAGTAGATAATAGATTTTATACATTTATATGATTATTAGTTTGATCGCCAAGTTCGTTACTGTAATTAGGAAAAGAATAAATTATTAGAAAAAAGTAACCTCGGTTCATTTCTATCCCTAATGTTCCATGTACGCTAAATTTAATGACAATTGGGTTGAACCATTAAGCCACCAAGAGATAACAAAGAAACAAACTTACTTTCACAAAACAAAAAAAAAACTTGGCGTACTCGCAATTCAGTACCCATTAGCGAGGCATATTGATTGACCGGAACAAAACAGTAGCATCTCCATATCAAATAATATTACTGCAATAAAATATTACAAGTTACAGTTACAAATACAGATTATTCTAAATATACGTACATTTCGATTTAGTAAACAGATTGCATCTAAAGTAATCTAATCTTTCAAAATCGTTGAGAAACATCAACGTGCCGACGAATATTCTTAAATTACAAATAGCTAAAATAATTTATAGAAATATATGTAGCTTGTAAATAATCTTAAATTATCGACTAATGAAACAGCACAATATCGATGTATGTATATGTCGATGATAGAGTAAAACAAAGATTCGACTATAACAGTCGAATCCTTGTTTTATATTTATTTAGATTATATCTCTGTTTTTTTTTTTTATATTTAGGATTTATTTCATATTTTGAGTTCGCCATTTATATACCATAAACAATAATATTTTTATTCAAGAAGCTTAATTACAAGCATTTTTGAATTAACATTATTTTATGATTCTACCACCAATTTAGAATGCAATACTGTCAATATATAAACTTTATTACTCCCACAATTAAGACTAATTAAATAACGATACCGCATTTTATAAAATCCAAAGACGTTCAGGCCACATACTACGCCAGACACCCAAGAACCCATGAACATTACTCTCTTCTCTATAGCAGTTGGACAAAACAGATACTTAATTAGTGCGTGATTAAACCTTGTTCGTGACATTTTGAACTAGTTGCATAAGAAATTATCTGGGTCCTTATTCTTATGTCAGCTGTGTCCCACAGTTTTTTTCGCACGAATAAAGATTAAATGTCTTTACAATTTCTTTTAAATATTTTCAACTGTTTAATCGCGATTGAATATTAATACATTAATTAACTGATATATATATATATATATATATATATATATATATATATATATATATATATATATATATATATATATACTTTACATTTATAACATTCACAATTTTGCTATAAATTTTTAAACCCATAGATGTTTGTATAACACAATATCTCACGATAAAAATGATATAAGTTGAACAGTTTTATCTATTGCACTACTTTTAAAGTTACGAAATAGTAAATAGAGACAACTGCAACGTATTCAACGATACCACAGATAATATAATATTATATTATATATGAACAATACGTATATAAAATAATGTGTCGAAAAATTTTCTCAGTAAACTTCGTAAAGACCATAAATTCGCCTATATTTTTTTTTTGTGTAATATCTTCGCCTATTCTCAACCTATTTAGATTTTATCATGTATTCTATACGATTTACTCACATGTTTATCTCATATAAATTTTATCACAGTTTTTTTGCAATATAAAGTCTTACTTACAATAATTATATCATCACCTTTGAAATATTTAACACAGCATTACCATGGCTACTAGTAATTAAGTCTAGTAGAGTACTATAGTACACCAAATAATTCATGCAAATAGTTCAGACATATATACCTGAATTATTTGCATGGAATAAAAATTATAATCATAGTAGATGTCTTGTGGGTCATAAAACAAATAAATGAAATAAAACTTACATTATTTGTATTTCATATAGAAATTAAATAATTTCTGACGTCAATAATTTTATTTTCCATTGTTAAAAATGTATAAGTTTATGCTTTTGCCTACTCTCAGTCTATGGTAATAAAATTATATATAGATATTGTCTGTGGAATATAAGTGAATAAATAAACAGCATTATAAAATTATTAGTTATTTTATTGTAAATAAATATCCACAATATAATTATTACACTGCCATGCCGCAGATTCACGCAAAAATAACTCTGTCGTCGTGAAAGTGCATAGCGTCCCGAACTGGGAATCATTTTCAGTTCTTTGCTCTCTAAACCCCACAACAATGTGCTATTCATAGCCCTCACTTTATTTATTTACTAGATGATAGATAAACAGATCTATCTATTATTCTTACATCGGATTCCTCCTTCCAAAAACTCGTTCTAGTAATAAAATTAAATTATATGTAATATTATATATGTAAATTGTATATATGAATTATAAGTATCATATAATAATAGGAAAGTTAAAAACATTAGTAATTACGGTCTTTTAAACTCAGACAAAAGGGAATTCTTATTGCGAAGTTAAACGTAAATATATCTATCGTATTTTTACGTAAAAAAAAAAACAATTTTCTGCAAAAACCATTAAAAAAATACACATATATCGCGTGTTATATACGCTCAATACAATATGTCCTATATAATTTTTCACGTAAACATGAAAAACACATTTAGTACCTATTGATCGCTAGGTCACATTTACAGATGGGCAAAGCACCGGGTTTAAACCCGGTGCTTTGGTAAAAACCCAATAAACACCCATAAACTCCCATAATCACCCAAAAAAATAGGTTTTTACGTATTTTTTTGAAAATATGTAAGTAATACCAATAAATTATTTTTATAAATTGTATTGATCAATTCTACAATATTAAATAAAACGTTAACTAATAATATTTCAGGAAATTTTAAAAATCTATATATAATAAAATGAAAGTAATTAATTTTCAGTGTTTTCATGTTGCAGTTGATCAACATGTTGGCCTTTTGCTTCCCGTAGATACTTTAAAATTTCTTCATAACACCTCGTTCGCACACATGGCCGTATATATTTAAATTCTTGAGCCACTAACAGTCCGAAATACTCATTTCTTTTATCCTCTTCTCCATAAATTAAGCATTTAGAACAGTTTGTTTCTTCTTTCAGTAAATTTTCTTTTACTTTATCCTCGTTTTTTTTCTTTGTTGCGACGATGCTGGGTAAATCATCTGGACACTGGGTCTCACTATCGCCAAATATATTTGGAGATCGGCTTCGGCTACGGCTTGGCAGACATTTTTTTCTTTCTACAATTTTAAATTAAATTTATTAGAATAAATGCTTCGAACACACGCGATCTAAGTACCTTTTGTGTTTATTATACCTTACCTACCTAGGTATAAAAAAGTACTTACGTAGATTTTCTTTTATTAACTGTTTTATACGAAGATCTTGATCTCTCAAATTAGCATCCATTTTACTTCCAGTGATTATCAACTAAATTAATAATCCACAAAGTATTAAATAACGTTTTTATGAAATATTTAGCACAAAAACAATACCCTTTAAATATCGATCGTCAGTAACTGTGGCTGACTTACCTATATTCTAGCAAGCAGGACTGCCAGATGTGAAGGGGAAATCCCCAATAAATTGTTGCATGTGACTGATGATGTGAGCATGTTCGTTTCATAATAAAAATGTTGCCAGGTAACCAAAAAGTCGTATGTTTTTGTGCGAATTACGATCATAATCTTTACGATCGTATATTAAAAAATAGACAAATAATAGTATGAGTACGATTTAAATCGTATATCTGTTGCTAGCAAGACAGCGACAAAATACGTTGCATAACAATGTAGCCCAAGCTTATATCTTATGAAATATACGGAAGAGATACGGACTTAGAAAAAACAGAAATGTTGTTCTTTGTGGAATATTGATGAAATTCTATGTATTTTAGCCCGCAAACTTTCTTCAAACAAAAACAGCGCCATCTAGTATCGAGTTCTGTAATTATCTCTTTGTTTATGGATTTGAAGTAAGACCGCCACGCATGCAATACATTATGACTGGGGATTCCCCTATTCGTCGACGCTGAATATGAGGCGACGACAATCACTGTCAAACGTGTTCACTATTACTCTGACTCTGGTAACGTGACTTCCTGGTAACGTGTTAGGTAGGAAAAGCAGTAAAAAAGTGCATATTAAGGGAGCAGATTTGAAATAATATTTATACTTAACAAGAAATAATTAAAGGTAAGTGGATTTTTGAATGATACAATTATATCATGATCACTTAACAATTTTAACTTAAAATTAGATGTATTATTACAAGCTTTTATTTAGCTTGCTTTATGTAAATAAAAGTATGTAGGTATGTTCGTATGTTGATGCAATTATCCTCAATCCTCAACCGACTGGGATAAAATTTTCCATACACGTTTATTTTGGATGATAGTGCATAGTTAGCTGAGAGTCGTCATTGGATAATAATGGTGGATAGCCTAAGATGTGTACTAGATATTTATTTTTAACATAATATGCGTAAGTACCTAATCGAATTAAAGAAGTTGCTGAGAAAAATACAGAACAATACGATAATAACTAGCGTCTGCGTTTAATCCTCCGAGGAGATGTAATTTTACAAAGGTTTTTTGTATTTATTTTATTATTTTTTTAATAAATTTATTGTAAATAACAAGAAATAATCATTGTAAAAAAATAGGCACTCTATTGTTGAATTTTCGTCAGACCAACTAATCATCGTTCATTTTTTTAGGTTCAATGGGGAGACCTAAAGATTTACGCATATGGGAGCACTACCGTACTTTACCAAAAAAGTCTGTTTCTTGCAAGCTTTGTAATAAGGTCTACAAATTCAGTAATGCTGCCAAAATGCTTCAACATCTTATCACTTGTCCAAAATCTCCAGAAACATTAAAAGACTCTATGAAACTTATAAAAGATAGCTCGTCCAAAACCAAAATGTCTGGACTGTCAGAGATAGAGACAAATGATTCTTTTATAAGCCCCTCGTCGTCTGCTAACACTACAATAAATGCTGAGTTTCAAGACACCAATGATCATATAAAAACAGAATTAGCGAGAGCTATATTTGTAACAGGGACGCCATTATCGATGGTGCAACATCCTTTATGGATACAATTTTTCGAAAAATTGCAACCAAAATTTAAAATACCTTCACGTAAAGCTTTAGCGACAAAATACTTAGATAAAATATATAGAGAAATGCGTTTTGAGTTAAATGAGGAACTAAATGCTTGTAGTTACTTACACCTTCAGTGCGATGGCTGGTCTAATTTAAGAAATGAAGGAATAATAAACTTTCTTATATCAAAACCTCAACCTGCATACGTTAAAAGTTTGAATACAGAAAGTAATCCTCACACTAGTGAATACCTTAGCCAAGAAGTTGAAAAAGTAATGAAAGTGTATGGAGCAAATAAGTTTCTTGTACTTATTGGCGATAACGCTAGAAATATACAAAAGGCATTCGAATTAACAAAACTCAAATATCCACATGTTGTTCCTCTCGGTTATCACATATCCGTTAGGACATATCCTTAACTTGTTGTGCCAAGATATTGTAAAGATACAAGAAGTAACTGTGTTTATTATGCAAGCCATAAATATAATAAAAACTGTTAAAAGGAGTCAACGATTAAGTTCCTTGTTGATAAAATCAAGGCAGGGTGAAGATTCTACACAAACACTAAAATTGCCTTGTGCTACAAGATGGGGAAGTCATGTTACTTCGTTAAAAAGTTTGAAAGCAAATAAGATAGCTTTGCAAATATTAACAGTTAGAGAAGATGTGGTAATTTCAAGAGATATTAAAGATTTAATTCTTGATGATTTCTGGACGAAGACAGGGGAATTTATAAGTATTTTGTAACCATTCACTGACAGCATATTTTACTTAGAGAGCGACCAGAATCGTTTGCATCGCACATACTTTACATTTAGAGATGTACAAGCTAAATACGTTTTGCATTAAATGAGATTTCGACATTGAGCGAAGAAAGCAAACAGCAGATTCTAACATCAGTATCTTCAAGATGCAATATGGCAATGAGGCCAATTTTATATTCTAGACCCCAGGACTCTAGGAGTCGAACTTACTCAAGAGGAAGAACTTAAGGGTATGGAGTTTATCTACAATTTAATCCAACACTTAAGTTTGTCAAATGTAATTGCAGATTTGGCGTGTTATAAAGCTAAAGAAAACTTTTGGGCCAGAGGATTTGTATGGAGCTCATTAGATAGCATTGAGCCCCTAATATGGTGGAAAGGTATTTGTGGTTCCACTGAGTTAAGCAAAGTAATATTCTATCAGCTCCCTGTAATCGGCAGCCACTGAGCGTTCCTTTAGTATCCAAGGCTACATACATAATAACAAAAGAAATCGACTTACAACTGAAAGAACTGAAAAATTTCATTCATTTGTTATTGGAATCTTAAACATAAAGCTGAATGCGAGGACATTCAGTTTAATGAAGAAAATACCTTAGAAGCTTTCATTGAGCATAAATGAACATAACAGTTTAGACGAAATAGAGCCTATCGAACCTATACAATTCATCGCTTGTAATAACTCTGAATCTGACAGTGATTGACTGTAGTTTTACATTTTACTTTCATCTCTTTCTTAATAAACTCAAAATCAAATTAAAAGTTTTTTATTCTGTAGGCTGCATAATAATATTGTCTATGTCCAGTATAGTGGACGTCTTGCGGCTGAATGACGATGATGAAGTACAAAATATCCAAAAATTTGGGTGTTTATGGGGTTTAAACCCAATAAACCCAAAACACCCGGTTTTTACCCACCAGACTTTAAACCCACCCAGGTGGATTGCCCATCTCTAGTCACATTACTTAGATATCATTTACCAAGTATACGTCAATAAATATTAAACATAACCAAGTAGACACGTCCTATAGACGTATCAATTAACGCGACCTTCATGTATTACACTGAAAAACTCATAACACGAAGTAGGTGTTCCATAGTATTGTTAAAACAGAATTAATTGGACGAATTTTGATAAAATGACTAATTAATACTTAAAATTCCTTTCTTGGTGTAACTGGAAATAGACTGAAACTGAATAACAAAAAGACACTTGAGAGATGGGTTCAAATCCTATCGTAAGGTATTTTTTCAATCTATTCATAATTTAAACTACATGGATTGGTGACCCATTTTAGCCGTTAATATTTTTGATATAACGTTATCATTGGCAACCTGGAATTTCGATTATATCTTCAGCAACACAAACAAGTTATTTTTTGACAGAGATTGCAATTTTAGCAAATGTTTATGATATTATAATATTTGAGATTTATAACTGAGATGGGTACGTCGTTTGAGACATTGAAAATATCATCATTGTTCCAACGAACCGACTTAAAATAAACCACTACGATTTAATCGACAACAAAAACAACTTACACCCACGTACTTAATACTTCACAAACTGTAATATTAGGGTCGTGTATTTTCATAAAAATATAATACCTAATCTACTAGCTAAGTTTATCCAACCCTGTTCGTGCAACACGAAACAATTTGCTAATATATACCTATCTTTCTGATGAATATACAAACTAACTAAACACAAATTAATCTAATGCAGAATTAATGACACAACGAGATTAATAGTGACGTACATTTCAGTTGATTAACATCTGATTTTCAATTTTACAATGGAAAATTAATATGAGATACATACAAATTTATGAAAAATAAACAAAAAAAAAGGGAGGCGATATTTACCGAGTATGTGTAGTGCTAATTATCAAATCATAAATCTCTTAATAAGGAAACTATTTTCTTACTGCATATATGCATTAACATAGATATAACTCAATCAAATACCAAATATCCAAATGACCAAATATCCAGTACCTGAATATTTGGTCATTGACCTACAATAGGTCAATGCATTCCGTTCTAAGATTATGTACTTACAGAGCCAATAGTCTATAATCTTAACATCTGTTTTATAAAGGGTTAATTCACTTTAGTTAGCAAAAATTGAAGGGAAATAAACCCCTTATTTCCTCTGCCCAGTAATTGTACATGATTCTATAATAAATAAAAAATTAATAACGGTTGATTTATTTGGCACTTAAAATCAATCATCCACTATGTCCCAACATTTTGGTTACGTAATAGTACGTACACATATTCTTTTATTTATGACTATAAACCCATTTTGTATTTTTGTAGGTAAATACATAAAAAAATACACTCAACTAACAAAGCTGAGTTATGCTATGGCTGTTATAGTAAAAACCATTGTGTTTATACATGTTTGGAATCGCCGATTGTTATCATTTTCCAAGTGAGTCACAGGTTTAATTTAAATACCGTATATAATGAACCTCATGTAAAAAATATAGCTATTATGTATTTTACCTTTGACAAAAATATAGGTAGAAATCAATAAGTAAATATAATAATAATGTAATTAAATACAGATTGAGAAAATTTGTTGTTCTCTATGGTAGATTATGTACCATAGATGTAATATTGCGTGTCAATTGTTACTATAAACCTTGTATCTAATATGAGAGCAAAAACAACTAAATACACTAACGTAATGCCTATTGATTACCAACTACAATGAACTAGTAAACCTTGGTCGGTGTAATGACGTAGTTATATTAGCAAAACGTGCACTATCAATAACAGTTATATGTGTTTTAGTTTTGTAATTATATCTTCAATACATGTATCATCAATATTGCAGTATTTGTCATATATAAAAATTGTGAGAACTACACATTAATACGTCAGTATAAATTTAGATATTAGATGCACTTAACCATTTTGAATTCGTCTCAATATGAATTTTATTGTTTCTGTATCTAATTTATTATGAATATTTAATCGGAGTAGATAAAAATGTTAATCGATCGATCAATTCGATCTCACATTGAAATCTTTCAAACAGGTAATTGAAAATACTAAGTGAATTGCTCGACGTTCAAATAATAATAGACGTTATGGAATTATTACATTATCTAAATACAAAATGAAAATATTGCATAACAATTTCTTTTTTTCTTTCAGTAGTCTTTGTTAATTGTCTTACAATAAGTAAGATTTACATATACAAAACAGAATATGTATTTATCAACATTTTTAAAGTAGATACTTAGGTAGATAATTTTATTCATTCATTTATAATTCATTACATATACAAAATTTCTTCATTTATAAATTTACTAGTTGTAATATCCAAAACTTTACTCGCGCGTCAAAGCATAAAAGTATAGTACATCTAATTTTATGTTAATCTAAGTTGTGATCCATTTATTCGTATATAAAAATTTCATTCAAATTCATCTAACTACTTATGCGTGATGGAATAACGAACAATCAAACATATAATGTACAGTTATCTTCAAAAATTTTACATTAGATGGATTAGTAAGGATATTTCGCATATTTGCGCATACGTATAGACCGTGAATAAAAGGTTACACTTGCCCTATATTAGATCGTGAACGAAGGTGTTGGTTTCCGCTTGCCCTACAAAGCTAGCACCAATCGATAGCAGATAGCCTGAATGGGTCGACGGCCTTATACAACCTTAAAACCCCATAACGATGCTATTACAGAATTGGTACGAATTGAATTAGTCATTGTTAGATGTCATTGTTAGGTTAATGATTTATTAATTTCTGAAAGATTCCGTACCGACGTCTCGATTTAAAGGTCAACTAATCGATACATCTATGTAGCATCTGTGTTTAGTACACTATAGGAATATTTTTCGTTCTATCAGCATTTTTTATATAACTTTTAATTGCAAATTCATTATTTGCAATTTAAACAACCCATCTGATGGCAAGTGGTAACCATCATCTATGTCTATAGACAAAAACAACAGCATGGACAATACAGAATACCTTTACTATCACGCCCAAAATTTACACATGTGTTGCCTTTCTTAAAAGTCAAGATGTTATGCCTCTATATTCTATAATTTGACTGCCATATACCACGCTTCATACCAAAACAAAGCCATACAGGTACAAATAGCTGCTTTTTGGCAGAAACACGAATAGGACTCATGCAGACAACTTTTATGCAAATTCAATTACCATGAAAATATTAAATACCATATTTGTTCATGTCCATAAATCCAATAGTCAACGATAGTTACCACTTTTTATCAACTAGACCGTCAGCTTATTTACCATCCCATGTTGCATAAAAAATATTATGCCCAAACTAGATCAAGACTTTCTCCTAGTGAATTGTAAAGAAAATGTGTATAATTTCTCTTTAACTTGTACATCGTTAATCTTATCGTTATGATTAATCTTTGAGAGATTGGCAACAGCATCTCTCTTAAAACATTACCAAAACCAGAACAAAAAAGTCAAGTTGACAACCGTAGTTAGGTTGGTAATAACAACCCACTAGCATGGCAACTACTGGCAAAACCCCCAAATAGGAGATCTGTGTTCAACAGTAGATAATGACTGATCTGATGATGATGAACAAACAGATAAATCCACTCTTAATTACTGTTAGATAATTTTTATGTAATGAATGTAATTATTCTAAATGCACATAATAATTACGCGTCTAACTTACTTTTAATAATACCAAGGATTTATATAACGCACAAACCACAAGATCAACAGGTTTTATGGTCTGCATTACAAGTATATGTTGAATTAATATTCAATACATTTATATCTTGTGCATTATAAGTCAGACTTATTATAATCTCCCACTCATAAAGTAGATGTTGCAGGGTTGTGTTTCACTTTGAAGGATGTGGTATAGCAGTAAAATTACAGGGTAAGGTGACATAACACTATGGTCTTTAGGAATAGCATTAGAGATACCATGGGTATCACAATGTATTTTGTGATATACATGGTACTTTTCAAGGCCATAGACAACGGTTACTACTTGCTTGTTTGCCTTTCGAGACTAAAATCTAAAAAAAAAAGTTTTTTTACTGATAACTGGTAAAGTTTTAGGTAAGAATAAAATATTTGTCTATGCTC